TGACTCATCCACATGGCTGACACTGACAAAGGTTCTACAATCTGAGGTACAGGGTCTCAGGATAAATCCTGAGGGGATTTCACTGATCTTCTCAGACCCAAAAGCTACAACTCTTGTTGCATAGGTCCCGCTTTACCTTGGTCTTAACCATCCAGCAGAAAAGTACAAAAACAAAATATAAGAAGTAAAGCCATGCTTTTATGTTGAGCTGTAGGGAACTCAGGTCAACAATTTTTTACTTTGCCAGTGAAACGGAAGACCCAATACTATTAGGGACTACTGGACTCTTTTAGAATATTTTGCTGAGTTTACACACCTATAATATTCATTAACGGAACTTAACAAAAAAGGGGGATACAGATGAATGTCCATTTTGTATCTGTGTATTCAAAGTGGTTAGGATAGATATATAGTTATATTCTCTTAATGAATAGAGGGATTTGTTCTAATGGTGTTTGTAAGTAGGATATCATGTCGGCATCTTGTACAGCAATTAATCACTAGGAAGCATGTATGCAATGTGTTAATTATTGGAACTGTCCTACCAATTTGGTTTGAAACTGTCTTATTGCTATTTGTTTCTCAATAAAATTATGGGGGGAAAAAAAGAAAGAAAAGAAAGCTCCTGTCAGAGAGAGGGACAGGAGAGGGGCCCCAACTTGTTGTTCCCTGGGAAGTTGTCTCTTCCAGGGACTTTAATAGAGGAAAACCATGTGGTAAGGTGAGTCTAAGGTGGTGGAAAAGACATGGAAATCCACTTAGGTGGGCATGAGGTGGGACAATACTATGGTCAACCAAGGAGATTACAAGTACCATTGCTCAGGTAAAATTGATTGAGTCTAGGATCAAATGAGGAAATGAGTCATGTAGCAAGTGGGCATGAATACAGGATAGGGTCTCTTGCTGTTGGGGATTGGTCTAGTGACTCAACTTGGCTCTTTCAAGGTGATTGATAGAAGTATTTAGACAATCCCTGATGCCCATCCCTAGAGAAGTATGTAGCTGTGTTTCTTCTTTTTGTCTTGGTCTTGAGATGTGGCTCATATGGGAGTGTCTGTCTCTTCCCAGTTATAAAGTCACCTTGTCTTCCATCTTGTCTTGTCCAGGGCCTGGCCCTATCCGACTGTCTATAATATTTGTATCTAACTTGGCTGCCTGTAACACTGAGACGAGATTGTGTTCTCTAAAACCGAAGAATGAATTTTAGAAACAGAGGTTATGAGTAGAATATACTTATTGAGGGAAAAAGCTCCTTTCCAAGAGAGGGACAGGAGGGGGGAGCCCTGAGCAGGTGGTTCCCAGGAAGGTGTCTCTTCCAGGGACTTTTATAGAGGAAAACCATGTGGTGAGGTGGGTCTAAGGTAGTTATGAAGACATGGAAACTCGCTTAGGTGGACATGAGGTAGAACAAAACTATGGTCAACCAATGAGATCACAAGCACCATTGCTCAGGTAAAATTGATTAAATCCAGTACCAAATGGGGAAGTGAGTCACATAGCAAGAGGGCATGAATATGGGACAGGGTCTCTTCCTGTTGGAGGTTGGGCTAGTGACTCATTTGGGCTCTTTCAAGGTGATCGATACCTATTTAGAATACCAATCCCTGATGCCCATCCCTAGGGAAGCATGTAGCTATGGTTCCTCTTTTGTCTTGGTCTTGGGGTGTGGCCCATATGGGAGTGTCTGTCTCTTCCAGGTTGCGTGGGGCCTGCCCATTAGCTCAGTTGTTTCAGTGCCTGCTTACGCAAAGGCACTCAGGTTCAGGATACTCTGGTTAAATCCCCAGATCCTCATGCCTTCCCAGGCCTGCCCTTAAGGCATCCTGAGCCAGCCCCCCCAAAAAAATTGTTCTTCCAAGTTGCAAGGTCACCTTGTCTTCCATCTTGTCTCCTTGAAGGTCTGGCCCTGTCTGACTGCCTATAATATTTCTATCTAATTTACCAGGATGAGACACTCTTTGGTGTAACACAGGAAGTGGCATGGGTTGGTCCTCCTGTGTGTTCTGCATTACAATATCCAGGACATGGAGCTGACCTTGGTGACCACAGACAGACAAGTAGACAAAGGAAGCTTCTAGTGATCAAGAGAATAAGATGGCAGAATGGATGAAACTACAAAACATTATGTTAAGGGTGCCAGGCACAGAAAGGCAAAGAACATATGATCTCCCTGCCATGTAGAAGCAAAACGTTGCTAGCCAAGAAAGAAATAATAGAATAAGGCTACCAAAGCCTGGGAGGAGGGGGATGCAGAGCGGGTGGTCAATAGACACACAAGAGCAGCTGGACTGTGGAGCCATCAGAGGAATAACTTGTTACACCCCATAGCCCTACAGCACAGTGGACCGACTACAGTGGATAACCACTGATCAAACAGCTAGTAGAGAGTTTGAAGGTACCCAACCCAGAGAAATGCTTAATGTCTGCAGTGAGAGATATGCCAACTACTTTGAGCCACGACATATTATGGACATGTATTGAATGTCACACAGTGCTCCATAAATTATATACAACTGCTATGTGTCAGTTAAGGATAAAATACATGGTTTTGTTTTGCTTTTTTTTTTTTTTTTTTTGTGGTATCGGGGATTGAACTCAGGACCCTGCATTTGCCAGGCAGGTGCTTATTCTACTATGCTATCTCTCTGGCTCAAAAGAAAAAAAGAAAGAAAGAAAACATGTTTTTAAATTTGAAAAACAATGTGCCTCCTCACATATATTTTAGCAAAGTCCTCAAAAACAAAACCAAACCAATGTTCCAGAACTTTAGCAACAATGAATAACAAAGATTAAATTCCTCAGGGGGCTATTACGTTCCTGAGTGCACATCAGAATCACCGCAGGCTTTGGAGGGTCAGCACCTGTGTTCCAGCATGGACGAAGTCTTTAAGGGTGAGGCCAGATTCACCGGTGATTCTGCCCAGCTGCAAGACTTAGGCACCAACAGGCAAAGCAAAGCAATGGCCAGCTTAGGAGCAAAAATTGGTGGTGAAATCCTCTCCAGCACCTGATACCATGGGCAGGTAGGGTTGGCATCAGTGGAAAATAAAGAGTAGGGAAGGATAAACAGGAGAAATTTTGGAAAGGATAGAAAGAATAGGGAGGATGACCACAGAGAACTTTCTGGAAGAATAGGAAGAGTGAGGAAGGACTACAGCAAAACTTCTGGAAGAACAGAAAGAGTAGGGAGGTGTGATGACAGATGTTATTACCCTGGTCAGGCTGCTATGGCTCTAGTTTATCATACTACTCTTCTTATTAGAGAAGACAGAAAGAACAATTTGTCACATGTGACAAATTGGCAATGATAATTGATTTTTATGAAATTAATTTGCAAAAGGTACTGGCTATTTTCAAAAAGCAAAGTTTTTTTTTCCTCATTCTTTCCATTCATCTTTGCTAAAGGAGTTCTTATAACTTGGGTGTGATTTCTCCTTCACAAACTTTCAAGGCATATGGTTGTTAATTGCACTTACATCATCTGCTTTCTGCTTGCTTCTTTTCCTTGATTCCCTAAATCTGTTTGCTGTCACCTTTATTCAGCTGCTAATGACTTCTAATTTGTCTGACGCTTTAATTGTATCATATGGAAAAGCTTCATCATTCTTAAGATGTTCAGGTAGAAGAGGCACGAAGGCCCTGAGCGCACTGTGGTCTTGGTCAAACTCCCTTCTCTGGCCTCTGCTCTCCCTCAGGCAATGGGTTGGGTGGAGAGTTGCTGCGACCCAAGTACAGGGCAGGGAGGCTGTCGGGAGAAGAGCCCTGAGTGTCCTGCTCTGCTTGGCTCCTTCAATTTAATTCCGAATTTCCGAGGGCAGGCTGTGGGAGCCCAGGGCCTAGTGCGCTAGGGGAGTGTTTGTCCACCGCACTCTCCCCAGCCACCACCTCCAATTTTAAATCAGATTCTTCTGTACATGGGAGATCTTCAGTAACAGCTTCTCTTCATTTTCTGTTTCCTCACTTGATTATATTCCTCCTTTTCTCCTTTCTCATTTTTACTTTCTAATTGGCTTTCTCTCTCTCTCTCTCTCTCTCTCTCTCTCTCTCTCTCTCTCTCTCTCTCTCCCTTCTGTACTGAGCTTGAAAAGCTGAGGTGAGGGATCTGGCTGTTTCTCTGAGCCACTGGCTGAACCGATTCAAATCTCTTAATGTTCCTGTTCTTTTTTTCTTTTTTCCCCCTTGATCTCTGACCACATTTCTGGATTCACAGACATTATCAGGAGGAAAATCTAGGTATTTTCTTTCCTATTTGGCCCAGGCCAACATATTGCAGAGACACCAACAGTGAGGGATCTATCAGTAATGACAGCTTAAACCCCTGCTGTGTAACAAGCCTTATCTCATGTTCTGCATTAATCCGGGGCCTGCCCCAGGCCACATGAACAATGCAGCCACCTCCAGAAGCTATTTGCTGCTCATGACCTTGAGAACACTCTTTAAATCTAAGTGATTGTAATTGCTATTGTTAGCTGCGCCTAGCTGCCAGCCTCTTCTCCTGAGCCCTGCGGAGCACCTCACCTTTACTGCATCCAGTCCCAGGGCACCCCATCCACGTCCACGCTTCCATCCTCCTCTGCTTGCTTTCACCCTAGCAGCAAAGATTTAGAGCATTTGTGGGCCAAGGAAAAGACATTCGAAGAGTCAGCTGACAGCAAAAGATGTCCAGTGGTCGTGTCAAGCACCTCGGGAGAACAGGGAAGCAAGCCACAGACTAGGAGAAAATACTTGCAAAGAAACCAAAATCTTGGGGCCAGGGAGAGGGCGCAGTGGAATAAGCGCTTGCCTGGCAAGCGCAGGGGCCTGAGTTCAATCCCCAGTTCCACCAAAAAAAAAAAAAAAAGGAAAGTAAAATTTCTAATGGGGAATGGGTACCTGAAATATAAAGAGAAGTTTTTAAAATTAACTCAATAAGGAGACAATCTGACTATAAAAGTGGGCCAAAGATCTGAATAACTATCTCACTAAAAATAGTAAGTAAGCATTTTAAAAGATGTTTGTATCACATACCACCAGGGCACTTGTTATGGTTTGCATATGGTTGTCCCCACAGAGCCTCATGCAGTCTTGGGGCGGCTTCTGGAGTTTGTGATTGATTACTGTGGGTGTGGGTGCTGCACTTGCCCTGGGACGGGTAATTTGCAACACAGAGTAAGGTGGGAAGAGAAGTTAGATGCTTGGGCTGCTGCTACCTCTCCCTTGTGCTCTTGCTTTTTGCTGCCACCATGAAAGGTTGCCCTCTGCCTTGTGCCGCTCTGCCTTGGACCCCGCTGAATATGGATTGAAACCTCCAGTAACTGAGCTACATAAACCTTGCCTTCCTTCATTTTGGGTGTCGTGTATTTGTCCCAACAATGAGACAGGAGTAACTAAGAGAGCACTACAAATGAAAACAAGAATGAGAAAGAAAGATATACTTATTAGAATGACTTAAACCCAGATATATAGAATTTGTGATGCTGTGGTGGAACAGCAAGAACTCTCATGAGTGGGCAGCTCAGCAGACTCATACACAACAAAATACACACTTGCTGTACAATCCAGCCTTTGTGCTCCTTGATGTTTACTTAAAGGGCTGAAAAAGTGCGCCTGCACAAAGCCCTTCACATGGTGTTGGTAGCAGTCTTATTCATAATTGTCAAAATCTGAAAGTGACCAAGATGCCATTCAGTAGGTGATGAATCAGTAAGTTACATCAAGCCTGGGAACTAGAATACAACTTAGCATTAAAAATGCATGATCAGGAGCTGGGGAGATGGCTCAGTGGAATAAACGCTTCCCTGGCAAGTGCAAGGGCCTGAGTTCGATCCCTGGGTCTGCAAAAAAAAAAAAAAAAAAAAAGCATCATCAGTCTATGAGGAGCGGTGGAGGAAGCTTAAGTGTATATTATCAAGGGAAAGAAGCCAATCTTGAAAAACTATTAAATGTATGATTTTACCTAGAAGATCAGACTATGGAGACAATGAGGAAGATCTGTGATTGCCAGGGGGCAGAACAGAGGGACACAGAGGAGGATTAGGGCCATGACAGCCTCTTAGGAGGCTGCAGTGGTGAAGCATGGGAGCCTACTTGTGTTCATACTCTCTGGACAACACCAAGAACCTCTAGTGTAAACACCAGTCCGTGAGTGGTAGTACTGGACAATGTCCATGGAGGCTCATCAGTTTTGTCACATGCACCACTCTGGCAAGCTGTGTTAACACTGAAGGAGGTTGTAGAGCAGAGATAGGGAACATATATAGGAATCTACATTTAATTTTGCTGCAAATGTAAGCTACACATTTAAAATGAAGTATATTTAAGCCAGGTGTGGTGTTGCTTGCCCATAATCCCAGCACCCAGGATGCTGAAGCAGGAGGCTGTCTTCGAGTTTGAGGCCAGCCTGGGCTGCAAAGTGAGTTCAAGGTCAGGTTGAGCCACATAGTAAGACCCTGTCTCAAAACAAACATAAATTAACTAAAAACAAAAAGAAAATATATTTAGAAGGGAAAAGCATACCTGCAGGTCATCCTAACCATACGGTCGAGTAGGGGTTCACACTTCTGTCCACGCCTCCCCACCGTGGATGGCATTTCCTTCCCCCAAGACACTACTCTGTTTGGGGGGTGGAGGCTGCATAGGGTACACAAGCAAGACAGGCAGTCACTCTCCAGGAAGCCTCTGTCCCTGGAGAACAGTCAGGTCGTCTGACGCTTGGACAAGTGCCATTTGCCCTCCTTTGACCAACATGAGGTTATAGCCTCAGAGCTCCCCAGCATCTTCAAGCTCGGCCATCAGCTACACCAGCTACCACACACTGCTCCATCAGACGAAGACAATTCCAGATTTCGTACTCTTCCTATGGACTGTTCCCATTGGTCCAGCATAACTCAGGCCTGACCAATAGGAGCCCTGTCTTCCTGCCACAGTGATTGATGCCAGAAACAAAACAGCTCCAACTACAGCCTTCAATCCTTCTGCCTTGTGAGCCTGAAAATTGCCTCTTTGCATAAGCAGCTTTGGGTTAGACTTGATGTCACCTGCAGTCGTAAGAGGACTGAAGATTCATCCACAAGATACTTTAGCTGGAAACTTCTGGGGAGAGAAGAAGTAGCTAAGAAACAAGGCAAGGACAGGGCAGCTCCATGGTGAGCCGTCGGCCTCTGCGGGACTCTGCATGATGCCCTTCCAGTCTGGACCCTTTTCCTCCACTGCAATTAAAAAAAAGCACACATATTGTCACACATGTCACTTTCCCATCCAGCCCAGATGCCAGCTTGGGTCTTCCTTATCAATATTCTGCGCTTTGCAATCTTCATTCTCCTTGTTCCTTCACAGCCCACGAAGGTGATGGCCAGCCCACTTGCACCCCAGGCTTCTCCCTCGGGCCTCTGGAGGCCCCCCAAGCAAGAGTGCACTGGGCGCCCTGGGAGTTCCCAGCTGCAGCTGTGCACCAGAACCACACAGGACGGCTGTGCGGCTGCCTAGGCCAGGGCCATCTCCAGCTTTTCTGATTTAATTGCCAGTGCATGGGGCCTAAGCATCAGTATTAGTATACAGCAAGAGTCATTGCTTAGGGGTTTTTTGAAGGTGGAAGAACCAGGGTGGCTCTTTATATCTGCTTCTTGAGCTTAATAGAAAATCCAGGCACAAATACAAGGAACCTCAAAGGGCATTTCAGTCTAAATCACCCTTTCCCTTAAAGTCTTGCAGCACTTTCTGTTGTGCATGGGATATCCTGGAAAGTTCTGCTGATGGGACCCCTGTCTGTCTCTCAGTCCTCATCTGAAGCCTTCTCCCATTGCAGCCTCTGAGCCCTGAGGTCTCTATTCTACTCCTGTCCCCTCGAAGACGACAAAACATTGTGACTTCCTTTCACCTGCGTTGCCAGCACCTGGTGCCCAGGAGCCCAGCTGGTACTAAACCCTTCCAGAACTCCTGGTGGAAAAAAGACCGGGAAATACTAAGGTTTACCACAAGAGGGCAGCATACGCACAGTCAATGGAGCCCTCCGAGCCTCCCGCTTAGAACGCGGAAATTATTGGCCACAGTCTGGGGTGTAGGTGTAAAGTGTTTTGATTTATCTTATAGATTTGTAGCAAGTGTTTGGGAAACATAAATGAGTATCTGAAGCGTGCAAAAGTGGTAGAGTTTGTGGTTTGCGTGGTGAGTGTAGCTTGGGCCGTAGCCAGGACTTGACCCGAGAGGACCTGGTCTGGGCGCCGTTACCTGGTTACCTGGCCCACACAGACGGCCCTTCACCGTGTTTGGCGCTATCTGCTCCATACGAGATGGCTCAGTAAACGAATCTATAGGGAAAATGACCATAATACTGCTCTACAGTCGGGAGGATTATGCGAGAAAATGAATTCAAACAGGCTTAGCAATTCATTAAATAAATGCTGTGATCAAGGGTGTATTCCTAAAGGCTTATTGTACGACTGGCAGCCAAAGAGCTGAGGGAGGAGTGGAGGGTCATTCTCCGCTGGCGACCTCCGAAGGCTTCTCCGAGCTGGAAGAAGGGAGGGGACAGACGGCTTCAAAGCATTCCTCTCTATCATTACCAGCTGCGTCTAGGGGACACCCGGGGCCAACCTTTCTACTCATGGCGGTCATGTGCTCTTAGCTGAGAACATGGCCACGTTTGAGGGCTGGAAACGCGCCCCCCGGCTAGGTCCTTTCCCCACAGCCGAGGGTGGTTTTCCAGCCGGTTGGCTCCCATCCTCTTTCGCCAGGGCCCCTCCCTCCCCCACCTCTCCCACGTTAGCACTGACAGAAGAACGGCTCTCAAGCCATTCTGAATCATATTACTGCCACTGTAATTATTATAGTTATGACTATGACCATCATTAGGAGGAAAATAATCCAAATGTAGGAAAGCAGAGGACGGCGGGGATTCTACGGCTTTGTGCGAAGTTAAAAGGCCAACACCTGGAAGGGGCAGCACCCCTCCTGCCAAGTTACCCCAGCACATGGGGAGGCTGGCTGTGGGGACAGTGTTTGGGCCAGCGAGGCCATGGTCAGGGAATCCTTTCCAGTCCCCCGCTGCCCATGCCTTGGCCTTTCCCATCTCCTGACGGTGCTAGCGCCACATACCTCCTCCCATGCCCTCTGCCAGGGTCCTGGGCCAGGCCACCCTCACCTGGCACCTGGATTCTTACAGCACACCCATCAGCGGCTCTGGGCTCTCCCAGCCCTTCAGATCAGCCCTGCAGAGATCTTCCCCAAATAGGTGGCATCTGGAAATAGGTGGCGTTGTGGCATCCTGGCATCCACGCAGACCAGGGAAACAGGCCACATCTCTGCTCAAAGCTAGCCACGTTTCCATTTAAGTCTTCCTCATGGCTCAGAAGCCTGCAAGGACAGGTGCTGAGGTCTGAATGTCTGCGCCTCCTGACACACACTCACGCACATGTGCACGTGCGCGTGCGCACACACACACACACACACACACACACACACACATGCACACACACATTCCCATCATTCCCATATTGGTCCCTCATGATGATAGCATTAGAAAAGAGGCTCCTTGGGAGGTGATTCAGGCCCTAGGGGTGGAGCCTCCATGATTGGAATTAGTGATCCTAGACAAAAGGCCCTGAAAAGGCCCAATCCCTTCCACCACGAG